TTGTCAGAACAATTTCGTCTCTTGCCTGTGCTCCATCTATAATTCATTAAGAAACCCAGAGAGGTGAAGCTGTTGACATTTCCCACTCTTTTCCCTTTGGAAGGCGTGGGCTCAGCGTTCTTTGCAGCAGGATGTGAATGAAACTGCTCTAAACTAAGAAGCCAAGGGTAAGGTGGTGGGAGAGGGACACGCTGCCATCTCCTGCTGGGACACCAAAGCATGGCATCTGCCTGTCACAAACACATCCTTTGCATGTGCCACCATAAACTCAGGGAGGACTTTGCTCAGAAAATCCTGGCCAGATCCTGGACCTGAAGTGCACTGGGTCTTTTGGATGCAAGTCTTCAAAGGTGTTTGGGTCTCACGCCAAACTTTTGCAGCAGCTTCCTCACCAGTTAAAATTTATCCTTCATGTGCTCCCCAGCATTGCAGCCTGTCTATCTGCTTCACTCCAGATACAGGTTTTGTGGAACCAAAATTGCATTCTCCTCATCATCATGTCAAGCTGAACTGCCTCAGCTCTGCTTTGTCCCTGCAATAGCCGCAAGCAAAAATAACACATTATTCACCATGAAAGCGTGGGTTATGCAACAAAATATCTGTCATTTTGAAACCACAAATATAATTGGGCACTTAAGTGCAATTTTGAGGAATGGCTACAGGCATAATTTATCATAGGGATTTCAATAATGGCAAATATTGATGTCTAAAAAGCAAGAAGTTCCAACAAGAAGAAGAAATTCTATCCTATATAGTGTAAAGATTAGGTTTCTGAACTGGTAGTGACTTTGAAATGTGAATGCAGACTATTGTTTAGATTTTGCCATAGATGAAATAGACAGGTTTCTTACCCTCATGTTCCAGGCTTTTCTCTGTTACTCTCTTTAAGAATAGAGAGATTCACCAGAGGGCAGCACAATATCACTTTCTATTGTAAAAGCAGGAGTTAATCGTTTTAGCTGTCAGAAAGCTCTTAAAAATTAACTGCTTGTTGTTCCATCATTATGATTTCAAATAAGTTTCTCTTTAAAGCCAGCCTCTGGAGCATCTCCTAAATCCAAGATATTAGGAATTGATGTTTTAATGTCCAGGCATTCACGTAGAGGAAGCAGAGGGAGTTCAGGCAGTTGTGTTTTCTTTGCCAGGTTTCTATCCAGGGCTACTTGGGGCAGCTGATGGATGCTGGTCCAGCTTCAAGAGCTCTCCTGGAATATTCCCCAGCCTGGGTGAATATTATTTCAGCCTCGTTTTTTGGGAGGCATTAAACAGAAGGAGTAAGTCCTCTGATGTCACCACATGATAAGTGTTCACAGAGAGTGAATCTAGAATCATAGAATCATAGAATGGCCTGAGTTGGAAGGGACATTAAAGGTCATCCAGTTCCAACTCACCTGCCAGGGCAGGGACACTTTTCACTAGACACTGTTGCTCAGAGCTCCATCCAAGCTGGTGTTTAACACTTCCAGGGATGGGGCATCCTCAACTTCTCTGGGCAACCTGTTCCAGTGCCTCACCACCCTCATTGTAAAAAAATTTCCTTTGAAATCTAGTCTAAACCTACTCAGTTTAAAGCCACTTCCTCTTGTTCCATCACTACATGCCCTTTAAAAAAAGTCCCTCACTAGTTTTCTTCTAAGTCCCCTTTAGGTGCTGGAAGGCTGAGATGTTTTTGTGTTATAATTGTATTTACTTCTGGTTGTCATGTGTGCTGGGCAGAATCTAGGTCATTTAGCACTTATGCTAAACTCCTGCTGTTCAAGGAGCTAAGAGGAATCACTTGTCACATTTTGCCTGCTCAGCTTCCTTCATTCAGGGCTTCACCTGTCATCAGTCTGTTCCTAGTTATTTCTGTGTTCTGCTTGCACAGGTGTCTGCAGCAGTCACCTCTGCTGGTTCAAGTGCCACTGTGCTATTCTGTCCTTTTCTGACCTCTTTCTCTCAGCATACAGTCAAAGCATTTCGTGCTGGTTTCCTGTAAATTAACTACATCTTCTGGCCTTGGTCATTCCCTTTGCTGCTTTGACTTCTGCCTGGTGGGATGCCTCAGTCTTGTGCTTCACTCCTGACATCACACACAGAGGTCTTCCTTGACTGACTGTTTCTGATCTCAGTCCTTTTGAAGTTCAGTCTGAGCTCCATCTGCTCTGGCTCAGACCAACACTTCCTAACTCTGTACTGAAGCCTTCAAAGACAGAGCTTTTCCATGGGGCTGCTCCCCATGTATCCTTAACTTTCCTTAGCTTAAATATTATCTTTAAAGTCCTGGAAACTTAAGAGTATATATTTAGAATTTTTAAAAACCACCTTCCTTACAGTATTTGTTTAAGTTACATTACTTAGTCTTCTGAGAGTATAGTATCCTACTTCAGAGTAGATACAAAATTATGAACTTAGTAGTAGAAATAATTTACATATCTTTCAAGACAGGGCTGTGTCTGCTCTAAAAGAAAATAAAAATGTATTTCTGTTTTAAGAAAAAGACTTCAAATCCCTCCCTCCCTCCCTCCCTCCCTCCCATCACTTCCTTCCATCTTTCTTCTTTATTTCAGTATTTGAAAAAAAATTCCTTTTTTCATTTGCATTCTTTTTAATTCTTGGGAAAACCATGGAAGAAAAGACAACAAAAATGATGAAAAATTATTTTGTTCTGTTTCCTTTGTTTTTACATTCTATTTTTTATTTTAACTTTTTTTTTCAAAGGAAAAAAGAAAATGAGGGGATTTCGAAGGCAAAAGGATTGGACAAAAGAAATTAAAATATTTTAAAAGAATTTTTTTAAGTTTTAGCGGGGCAGAAAATGTCTTTGAAAATTCACGAAAAAGAAAAGTTTAAAAGGGAAGTACTTTCGTACTTTCTATTCAACCACCTTAACAAGGGCTTGGAGCCAGTTAAGGCAGCCAGCACAGTGTGCTTTGTAATGTTTTCTACATGAGGACATTCCATCACCTTTACAGGGATCCATACCTGAATGGTGGAATTGAATGGCATTGAATGCAGTGCCCTTGCATGGCATCACAGAGGTCTTTGTGGGCATTACACCAAGTTTTCTCCTGACTAAACCTGATGCGGTTTCCCTTAAGGTCTCTCTATTTCACAGTCAGTGCTATGACTGTGACTCGCAGTAGAAATAACCCAACCTGGGCTTTAAAATAGGGATGAGGCAAGGCTGTGACATCTGCTGCGTACATAATTTTTAGAGTGATCTGCCACTGCTTTTAAAGGTTTAATTTTCCAGGCTGTGCCAAGATGAGCAGAGAGGCACATTGCTTGGCAGTGGTCATCGCTGAAGAGCACCGGCTCTTGGGTGTAAGGCTCAAGACTTAAGATGTGTGTGCTTTGCCAAGGTGTGTGGCACCTGTTCTTCCTGTCTATTTAGGGGTTTGGAGAAGTTACACAATGTCTGGCTTTCTTGTTTCTTGCCCAAACTAAAATTATTTAGCTGCACCTTGAAATTGGTCTTTTCAGGATCAGCAACTTTTCTCATCTTTTGTTTATTTCTTCCCATTTCAGTTTATATCCAATGCCATGATTATCTAAAGGGAAAAGTGTTTTTTTTTAAAAGCGTTTATCCACTGTGGGTAAATTAGTGGGGTTCTTCTTGGAAGGTGTTCAGAAGTCTGATCCTGCATGGCTGAAATGAATGAGTCCATTTTATGCAGGAAGAGAAATACTACTTGTAAGAGCTACCCAACCTACCCAGTCACCTAACTTAGTTGTTGTGTGTAACTAATGTCTTCTCTGATTCACCAGATTTACTCTGATCTGAATGGCCTTTTTCTAGAAATAAATCTTCTTTTCTCATAAGATATTAGTAACAAAATGCTGATATGTTTTTGTATACAAGTATGATATAGTACCTAGTTGAATTTTTTTTTACAAAGGATGCTTCTGCTGCAAAGAAAGAAATATAGGTACATACATATTTGCTATACAAAAAAAATTCAATGAAAATGATGCATTAAAGTAAGTCATTAGTGGCTTTAGACATTGTCAATCTTATATTTGTGCTACTTTTTCATTCCCAAAATATATCTGCTCATTTCTTGGCCATTGTATTCTATTTCAGTTTTTATCAATCATGTCAGCCTGAAAGCCTGTAAATAGGCTTTGCATAACCTGTTCTCAAATTATGGAGGAATTGATACCTTCAGCAGTGAAGAATTAATAACTTCTTTTTAATTTTGCCATGTCAACCATGTATTGCATTAAATGTATGTACAGAATTTTAGAATATATTGTATACCAAAACTTGTATGTCACAAGTAAGGTTTACCCACAGTATTCCCCATGGGCTGCTGTCATGTAGCAAAAGTTGTGTTTATTCAGGTTCTTAAAACCTCCGTGTTTACTTTGCTCTGTTGTTTTCTTAGACTCAGGTGGGGAGAAGCTAAAAAAGAAAGTTCAATATTGTTACTCTCCAGACATACTACTAAGAAAATAAGCATGTCACACAGAAATAAGACTGGATCCTATCTGCTGTGAGAAAGGTTTTTGTGGTATTCCTTTCAAAGACTTACCTAGTTTATTTGTCACTGCACTTTAAGCCTCGAATCACATGCAGGCAGGAGAGACTGAGAGAGAGGAGGTGAATGCTTGCTGCTGCTCTCTTTTTGGCTTGTTAACTTTGCAGAAGTTGTAGCTGGTTTCAAAAGCTCACTTTTCAATGAAATTTGCAAATATAACCACAAAATAGATTACTCTGGCCCTCAAAGCAGATTTATAAATCTTTTCCTGAAGATCCACGTACAGAGATGCTGTGCTACCTTTTATTCATATTGAGATTGTAGATAGGTAACAGCTTGTGTTAATATTTGACAAATCTGTTCTATGTTACTGTCAGAAATGTAGCTGAAAATCTCTTTGGCTGGCTGGCTTGTACTTGAAACTGGTTTTCATAAGATCTGGATTTGAAAATCTCTCCTGCCAGACTTGTAGCTGTCAGATTCATTATCTTCAAAATTTCTCTTAGCCTCTGATGGTGTTTTTCTTTCCTTCTGCAGAAACAGAAGGTGCATGCAGCACAGATGTCAGTCTTCTTCAAGGAGTAACTTCTTCAACCCCAAGTGATACCAGCTCCTGCTAGTACCATGGGGCTAGAGGGTGTTTTTTTAGGCACTGGACAGATCCACATAATCCTGTGGGGAAGTTTGGCAGCCATGACAACACTCTTGTTCCTCACCTTCCTCATCTTCCTCTGCTCCAGCTGCAATGGGTAAGGCTCCAGGGCTTAATGGTTCACTTTGGACATAGCTTCATGTGTAAATAGTTAGCAGGAAATACTTAGGACTGAGGTACAGAAATTAAAAAAGAAAGGTACCTTTTTCAGAGCAAACTTCAGTTTGAACAGTTCTATTCATTCTAAAATCTAAATTCTATTTTTCTTTTGCTGTGAAGGAAGTACACAATTGTACTGAATTACACAATTTGGTTTCCCCTAAGCAGAAGCCTGCAGCCCAGGCAGACACTGAGTGTTAGCAAATCACACCCCTAAGCTGAAACTGAGAACATCAGGTGGGCTAAACAGGACCAAAAAAAATCTAGGCAAAAAGGAAAGGGAAGTGATTATGTACTTCAGCTTTGCTGTGGCCATTCCTGAGGCATAGGGAATATAGTTTTGATCCTGCCTTTCAAGCAAAAATGAGTAAGGATCAAACAGTGGTACTAATTAATGCCTCATGCCTTATTTTCTTCTCCATAAGAGGATTGAATTTCACCCATAGAGCCACTTCTAGTGGCTTTGTTTATGCATGTTTGAAGGCTCCTTCATGACATGTAAACTGAGCCCTGCTGGCTGCACAGGGAAGCTGGGCAAGCCTGCAGCCTGTCCGTGGTGCCCTTCCACAGGCAGAGCAGTCAGACCCTTCTCTATGAGGAGTGGGACTGCTGTGGTCCATATTGTTATATTTTGTCAGCACAGATGAATCAACCAAGTTATATGGGGGAAAAAATCCAGTACAGCAGCAAAATCTGCAGTTTGGATGCATATGCCTATAAGGAGCATGTGCTTTCATCCCTCCAGCTTTGAGAACAGTGAGGAAATTGTGTAGCCATAAAATGCACTGTATTGGCACAGGATGTGTCTACAGTGGTGTATTTTCACAGGGTGTATTTCAGCAGGATTTATCTAATGCCCACCATGCAAAAAACAGTTGTGGGCAAAAACAGGTCCCAGAGTTGGTTGAAACCCTAAAAAGCCTAAGTTAGACCATGTAATTTCATGTGGTTCAGGTGAAACACTTTTGTAAACTGTAAGTTGACACTTCAGTATCTTCTTTTTGTCCCAGTTTGCTGTGATATCTGTGTAAAAAAAAAAAATAGAATTTTTTAAAATTTATTTAAAAATAGAAAACCTGTTTTAAATATTCTTTATCCCACAAGGGATGCATTTAGGGACTGTGTATCATCTTTAAAGCCTTTTCCAACCCAAATAATTCTATAAGTCTATGTTTTCTAACACACCAATCCTTGAAACATCTCTAGAAAGATGGGTCAAACCACTGAGTAATCTTTGCAATTACAGAGATACATTGCCTGAAACATTCTGGTGATGTTTTTTAATAAATTCTTGTGTTGCTAGTTTGGACATAATATCTTTTGTTTCAGGTCATTCTGTACAGCAGGTTGTTTATGCATAAATGCAATTGTGCAGAATTTCTTCCTGGCTTACACTTCAAAAATGGATGAGGACATAGAAAACTGAATGAAATTTGGTCTTTTTAAAATGTCAGAGTCAGAAAAACTTCCAGAGAGGAAATTCAGCTTTTAACTTTCTCTGCTCTTCACTGGTGCATGCTCACTTGCTGTTTTGTTATTTCCCAATTAGGAAGAATTTTAACAGTTGATAATGTGGAAGTACAGTTCACTGCAGACTTTAGAAGAAGCAAAAAATTCATATTGTCAATATTTTCTCACCTTTTTATTTGAATTTTCATCTAGGGGAAGGACTAACATTATTTTAAGCTCATACTTTATTGCAGTATTTCTGAGCAAGAGCTGCATTTCCCAAATGGTAAAACCTGGAAATGTGATCCATACTTAGGATGAAGACCCAGGGAAATGGGATTCCTTTAAAACTCTAGTCCTCTGCTGCTGTGAAATTTGTATGCCTTTTTGAACTGCTCATGCCTATTATCATTTGAGTACCATTTTTGCTTACCTGGATTTTGTTGGCCTTTTCTAATTCTTCACAGGACACACATTTTTTTTCTGACACAGTTTAAGGGACTTCCTAAGTAGTCTGTAACCAGAATATATATCTGAGCATTTCCGATATTATTAAATTGAATAATAATATTTTTATTAACATAGAATCATAGAATGGCCTGGGTTGGAAGGGACTTGAAAGATCATCTAGTTCCCTGTCATGGGCAGGGACACGTTTCACCAGACCAGATTGCTCAGAGCCCCATCCACTGTGGCCTTGGACACTGCCAGGGATGGGGCATCCACCAGTAGTTGCTTCTTGGAGTAATTTGTTCCAGTGTCTCACCACCCTCACAGTAAAGAACTTTTTCCTAATATTTAATCTAAACCTACTCCCTTTCGGTTTGAAGCCATTTCCCCCTGTCCTGTCTCTACATAATTATTTATATTATATTATAATAACCATCAGTCATTTCTCATTGTGATCTTACATTGAGTGAGAAGAAGAGTTCTGTGTGTTTGTTGTACCACTTCAGTTATGTTTATCACCATTCTGCCTCATTGGTGTTTTTACACAGAGGTCATACAAATTCCTGTAATAATTTTCAGTTACTCCATTTTCAATATTATTGTGAATCATAGTTCTGTTCCCTGCAGGAATGCAAGGTCTGTGAATGATTGGTATTTGTATATTAGCATAATTTGTAGTAAAAATTAATGTGCCTTTTTCATTAAGGGAAAAGAAGGCCAAAAGTCAGAATGGAGATCATGAAAATCTGATGAATGTGGTGAGTATTTATTTCTGGCAGCTTGTGTCTGTCTTGTGGTTGGTTTGTACCGAGCTCCTTGCAAAATACAACAGATTAGAGAATAGCTCAGGAATTTTGAGATGGTTGAGCATGGGAAACTTCAAAAGTTGCAGAAGGGGAAGAAGAGGAAAATTTGTGTAGAGGCTGATAATCTGCACTTTCTCAGTGCCCTTTCTGCTACCACTGCATTCCAACCTTCCCCTCAATCCATTTGCAGCCCAATGCAGTGTAACCTTTGTCAGCTGCTGTCTTCTCAAGAGTTAAAGCCATGGTAATATCTATTGCCATAAAGCTTGAAAAGGACATCACTCTGGACATCTTTGCACTTATTTCTTTTTAGCATCTGCAAACACAGGCACTCATATCTTTGAATCTAGTTGGCATGGTTTGCTTCTCCTGCCAATAATACCTGTGAGTCAGAGCTCCGGAGATGACAATGAAATTGGTTGTGTGTGTGTTCATGTGAAGGTTCATTCTGACCAGCAGTAACTGGTCTGTGTTGCAGCCTTCCGAGAAGGAGGTTTTCAGCCATTCCATCACGAGCTCGGTCACGGAGCCTCCCCCAAACAGTGAACAGAATGGAGCCCTCAGCAACGGTGATGGTGAGTATGGCAGCCCCTGGGGTGGGATGAGCCAGCAGCACCATCCGGTGCTCGGGATCCCGCAGGTTTCAGGTGTTATCCATCAGCTTCCCAAGCACACAGGCAAGCCATGTGTCAGAATTCCCTGCACACCTCTGCAGGTCTGACACCAGATCACACAGAACTTACAACCAAGGTAAAAAATGCCATGGAGTAATTTGCCTTGCTGGGAGGTCAGTGGAGATGATCATCTCATGGAGATTCAGGTGGTTTAGGGTGCATCTCCACTCCACTCCTGGGCGTGCTCTGGCACAGTCCTAGCTGCTGCTTCCAGTCCTCCACACCAGCCAGCACTGGGAGGAGGTGCTGAGGTCCCCTCCTGGGCCACCAGGTCTGGGTCACCAAGCCATACCTGCAGATTGACCAGGTGATCAGGCAGAGAATGGGACCTTCCCTAATCTTGGTAAGCTATGGAACTGGGATAAAACAAGAAGATGAAGCTGCACCTTAGAGTTTCAAAAGTGCTTCAGGAGGTTGTGGACATATTGCAGGTCCTCCAGGGATTACAGCTTTGGATCACAGTCCTGTGCTGTACTGTCACTTATATTTTCATATTTTAGAAAGCAGCCAACATAAATGGGCTTCCTTTTTTTTCCCCTTAGTCTTTGCTTTGCTGAACACTCAAAATGATTCACCCTGATGTATCACTGGAAAATATTTTACTCAGCTGCACCTAAAAATAAACTCACTCTCAGCTCAGAGCCACTGGGAGCCAACTGTTGTCTTCACACTAACACCAACACCAGGGGCTGCACTCCAACTTACAGCTCTCTCCTCATCTCCTGCAAGCAGAGGCTAAGCTATTCAGACTTTACCCCTTAGAGACAAGTATCCAAAGTAACTTTTAAACTTTGTTTTTGCAGCTAATTGCTGTTCCCATCCACTGGCTTGTGTATGTAGGTGTGTGGTTCCCTGAGGGACTTGATGTGCAGAGCAAAGCCCTGCAGAATGGAAGTGTTTCTCTCTGCCATGAGTCACCACATGCGCAGCTGTCAGAGCTGCTGCTAAAAGGTGTGCTGTCAACCAGCAGACAGTTTTCAGACTGTCTGATATTACACTCAGCTTACACTCTGCATAACAACCCTTCTGAATAACAGGAACCCCTGTGCTTTAATTTTTTACTTACACTTTATGCAGTTTTTGTTAATAGCTCTTTTTATTACTGTTTCTGCTAGCTTTTTGAGCAGGGGCAGGTTTATGGAAGAAGAACCAAATGCTGTGGTTTTTTTCCTTTGTCCAACCTGCCAGCATTGTCTTATCTATGCCAAACCTTCAGCTACACCAACCCCTTCTGTGCTAACACCCATAACCACAAAAATACAGAAACTTGAGCTCTCATTGCTTTTAATTATCCCCTCCAGCCTGAATGTGCTTTCTGGGTTCTGTAAGGGTGCTCAGCACAGCACAGAAATCTCTAGAATCAAGGACCAGAAAGGCAAAACTCCACCATCTCCCATTCAGTGATTATCATCTCACACCTCCAGCTCTGTCCTGAGTTTTGCAGTCAGGGTATGGCTCCCTGCAGGTGCTGACTGTGTCTGCATGCCCTGAACAGAAGAGAAAGCAATGTCCATGGCAACCAGCAAATCAAGGGCATTGATTGCTTTGGCAACGCTTCTGTCACCATGTCAAATACACTGAAGGACACAGAAGAATGGGTTGTTTTTGTTGAGACAGTGCCTTAGGAACTATGCTAGGAAAAGTAAAGCTGTTCAGAAGTGATTTTTTAAAGAAGTAGTGTGAGATAAAGTTATCTACCCTGCTTGAAACATGCTTGTATATGTCCATGAATGTATGCAAATGTCACACGTGTGGTGTAAGATGAGAATCCCCATACATTTCAGTCCCTTATACCCTCTAGTGACAATGACATGTGGCCCACTTCTGGGACCTGAAACAACATGTTCTGCCTGACACTACCTCCTGAAGTCTAGTCTTCTCTCTTGTGCATATGGCCAGCTCGTTAGTAGGTTGTCAACCAACATTATGTGCTGCGAGACTAAGAGAAGCACGGCTCAGCTCTCGGTGAGGAGCTTCTGCTGTGGCGTGCAGGGAGGGCTGAGCGAAGTGCAGTTCCAACCAGAACTGGGCCAGCATGTTAAACAAGCTGAAGGATGGTGGGGAGGAAGAAGGAACGCTTTCCTTTTGATTCCAAAGAATGGGGAAATGCAAAGAGGAAAATCTGACGAGGATTTTTTAAGGCACTTGGTTTGAGGCCTCCCACCTGTTTCCCATCTGAGACTACTGAGCACTCTGTAATCATTCAGTGAAACTGAGTACAAGGCAGCTGAATATCCATGCACAGCTAACCTCCCACCCCCTGTTCTGACAGTGAATGCTGTTGCCATATAATGTGAATTGGGGGTGTACAGACTGTTTTAGTTGTTGTAAGAAAGATATTTTACCAGTAGAGTGCAGAAATGTCTGTAACTGAAACCTTTTGATAAGCAAAAAGCATGCTAATCACCAGCCATTTCCAGGTATTAGAATAATTTATCCTTTCCAGAGTGTCACAAAACCAAAGTGATGTAGAGAGTACCAAATCACACCTTTTAGTTATGCCTTTGTAATACTTCTCTGTAATTTTCTTTAGTTCTTTCTGAGGACAGTACAGCTGCCTGTATCCAGCCTTACGAAGAAGTACAGACATCTGATCTACTAGATCAACAGGATAGTCTTGGAAAGTCTATAAAGTGTCACCAGAGCCGGGAACTACCCAGTATTCCCCCTAACAACCCCATGGAAACTATAATCTCATCTAGAAATGCAGAAAATGATCAAGGTCTTGGAATGGAAGGGCCTTATGAAGTCTTGAAAGACAGTTCCTCTCAGGAGAACATAGTTGAAGACTGCTTGTATGAAACTGTGAAGGAAATTAAAGATGTTGGAGCAGTAGCCAGCATGGAAGGGAACTCTAACAGCAAATCAAAGACTTCACTGACAGTTTCTGAAGGTCAGAATCAGATTCCTGAGTGCAGAATTGAGTCAGCAGAATATGCATCTGTTGACCGAAATAAGAAGAGTCGCCAAAGTGCAAATTCAGAAAGTCCTCTTGACAACATACCAGATGTGGAGGATGAACTTCCCCCTCCAGTACCCATGAAACTTCTTGATGAAAATGAAAATGTGCAAGAAAAAGAAGTGGAAGAAGAAGTGACAGAAGGAGCGAGTAAACCAGAAAAGGTAAATACTGCAAATATTTGTCCTCATCAAACAGCCAAATAATGATTGAGAACATATGGTGGGAGAGGATTTTATTTTTCAGTAACAAAAAAATAACAAGAAAAAAGCCCACTCAAGATGAAGCAAGACTGTAAATAGAAATATTATAGTATATAGTAGAATCTTTGTGTTAGGGCTATATGCTCATTCTGTTGCTGCCTGTATTTTTGATTGTTGCAGCTATGCACTACATAAGGCTTTTCCCAAATATTATCCAGGAATTGCATAGGAGGCTTCTGCTTCTTTGTTTGATGATATTATACTTGTGGAAGCTATTACAAAGGGCATCCAGTATCTCTGTCACCATCTATATGTTGTTCTGAATACCCCTCTTCTTTTTCTTCCTAATGAAACTGCAATTTACAAAAAGGAGAGGGGGGCATCCTTGGTGGATGTCCTTACTTTAGATGTGCCTCTTTCATTGGTCCACCTTGACTTAGCTGTGCAATTGTTAGGCACTCACTTTGTCTTTTTCTGTAGGAGAGAGGGATAGAAAGAGAGAGAGACTGCAGCTGTATGCTTTTATATTTGTCAAATTCTGTATATCACATATAAACAGAGTGTAAGGAATTTCTAAGTGCTGAAATCACAGCCAAAAATTAAGTTTTCTCAGCAGCTTATGCTTCCTCACTAGGAATGAGTTGTGATGAATTCCTTGAAATATAAAATTATGACATTTTCTGCAGTTTCTTTTCCCATTTGTAGTTTTATATCTGAAGACATTTTAAGGATGCTTTCAGACCATAGCAGAGACTTTTCATAAATTGTTGAGTTTGCATTTTTCAGAATGTTTAGATATCTTCTTATTAACGGTGAATGAAAGAACTGTAGGTTTAGCAGGTTTCTGGTGTCCAAGTCATCAAATAATATTAGGTAGGTATTGATGAAAATTTCAAAAAAGTTCTTAAGATGCAGTGTGACTTTTAAATGTAAATATTTATGTAAAAATCACAGCAGAGATGAGGTATTGTTACTTGTTTCTGGTTGTTCTCTTACTTGAAGAATTTCAGTAATCCAGGAAGAAGGCCGAAGAGTATCTTGTTAAATAAATATCTAACCATGTAACTTGTAAAGCACAATATAGCCCAAATGAATAAACTCAAGACTTCTTGCAATATAAAGATTGTTTAGCTAGACTCTTCATTGCACATTTTTACAACAATGATCTCATTAAGTAAAAAATTAAGATGTGACTGTCAACAGTAATCCAGCAACATTGCCCCCTCCCACATTCCAGCCATAAGTAATTTCTAATTAGACTTTTAGATAAACAGCTTAGTGTAAAAGTGATATTTTTCCTACCAGGTGTGAAAAGACTAGCAGAAAGTAATTGTATTTCCCAGGCACCAATACAAAGGAAAAGCCTTTGCTGCTCTGTAGCTCCCCAGCACACCATGTATGCAGCGTCAGTAACTGCCAGGAGTGGGAATTGATTAAAATGGTTCAGGTTTTGAAGGATTAATCAAGAGATGACACATGCAGTCCCCTAAGTGCCAGGAAAAAAGGTGTTTGTCTAATTAAAATTTATTCAGAGCTGAAGCCACCCCGAGTTAAATCTTGGGCAGCATCAGATCATTGCCGTGCGCTGCTGGGTACATGCATTATGCATCGAGGTGTGTGCCTGTCCTGTCCTTGAGAGCTACAGCTGCAGCAGAGCTGGAGATGGTAATTGATGGAATATATAAATGTCATTATTGTTGGCATTGTGTGGGGAGGGGGCTGTGGGATTGTTTTTCTGTTGTGATGATGATAGTTTTTCCCTGTATTTTGCTGCTTCAAGCAATTGAATCCAGAGCAATGCCTGTTTTTTTTTGATGTGGCAAGCAAAACCAAGATGTTCATGGAAATGTATGTTACACTGATAACTCTTTTAGTTAGACTCCATAGGTGTTTCTGGTTTTGCTTCCTTTCTAGGAGTCTACTTAGCTCTTTGTTTAGCATGACATCTGTATCCCAAACTCTTCAACCTTCTGCCCTGGCCCTGGTGAAGACAGAGGTTGTGTGTGTGTCATGCAAGTCTCCCTCACTACCATGAGGGCACACAGAAGGGACAGGCAGGGAGGCACCTGTGTAACCAAGGCTTGTACCTGCCAACAGAGAGAACAGGCTGTGCCCAAGCTGTTTCACTCTCAGTCTAAAAGAGGGCAGCCAGGGTGATCCCCAGCCCATGCCAGTCCCTGAAGCACTCCAATCTGGGAGAGAACTAGGTGGACCAAGCCAGAGACCATTCCCGTACATAACAGCATGAAAGCTAGAAAGCATCCTTTTGAGAGCCAGGTGTGAAATAATGGATGAAAACTTAACTAAACTCGTTTTTGGCTGTGACCCAGCCAAATCCTTTGGAAAGACTTGGTGAAGAAAGACACCTTTAATAGCACAAGGCCTCTTACAGGCCTCTATCACCTACAAAACCTTGAACATCATTCTTTTAATAATACTGAAAAAGCAAAATAGATTTCTTTAGTTCTATCTTTTATTTAAAAAGGGAGTATGGATCTCCTTTTTCACCCAGGTCTTTCCAGAGTGAGCACTGGTAGAAGTGCTATCTGTGTGTCCATTTGTCTGTCATCTGATTTCAGCTTTGCACAATCTGAGGATAAGCAAAACATCTCTTAAAAATGCACCAGAGAATGTTCTTATTCTTGTGCCCAAGTCAGGAGCAGCAGCTGAGCCAAAGAGCAAAATATCAAGTGCTGTCAAGGAATGAAAGGAAAGCAGAAGGCAAATAAGGACACGTGTGGTTTGCATTGTTACTGTTGAGGTTTCAGCATTATTTAAAATGTTGCTAGGTACAAAATATTCAGGGGCCAGTGGGATTTAAGTTTCCCATTTAAAATCTTAAGATTTTAAGATAACAATATCCTCCAAACCAGATGTGTCACAAGCTTCACATTTAGAAGAAAGAATGCTGTACCAGGGGAACAGCACAGGATGGCAAACAGCCTGGGATATTTATCAGTACTTGAGTGGGAAACTGTAGAAGGGGTCCTGACACATGGTGCTTATAGACACACTGATGACGAAAAAATCACTGAAGAATTTTATGAGCACATGCTTGTTTTAATGTGTGAGGATGAAATTAGTAGCTTCCTCCTCAGCAGAAGAAGATGCAGATAGGAAAGACTAAAGGAAGTTGCTGTAGTGAAGCAGATTTAATACAAGGCCAAAATATATATTTGAATTTTTCCTTTTTCCTTTTTTTTTTAGTTGCTTGGTTGTTTTTTTTTTTAAGAGTAAACAAATCACAAATTAAAGAGCACTGTTCTCAAGTCAGTGAGAAAGAAGTCAGGGAGTTTGTTTGCTTAAGGGAAGCTCTTCAGGTACAGCAAGCAGAACTTCCGTGTGCTTTTTGAGCTGGGGTCTGTCAGAAGTGCCCAGGGACCTGAAGTTCGGTATTTTACCAGAAATAAAAACAGCAAGAAAATGGAAGGAGGAAAGAATCTATCACAATGAGCCTCTGAGAGAAAAAAACAAAACAAAACATGTTGTGTGCCTGGAAGTGGTATTTTATTGACTGTGTTAAAATAGCTCTAGTCTTCCATGTTGGCTTGCACTGGAGGTGGTATGAAGTATTTTAGTTGGAGAAGTTGTGTGAAAGTCCAAAATACAGCCTCTTACAGTACTGGATGGCTTCCTCTGAATCACTGTGGAGCAGGAGTCCAGCAAAGCCTTCTTGGCCCAGAGAGGAGGCATCCCACAGCTGCTGGGGTCTTTGTTGTTGTAATGGGTCTTTGTTGTTGTAATGGTCCAAAGGCATTTTTCACAAGAGCAAAATGCTTTTCCCCTGATGCTTCATGACCTGTTTTACACAGAACACTTTAGATGCTTGAAATTTGACTTGATACCAAACCAAGCCCTCCATCCTTCAGTGACTCCGATGTGTGACCTGGCTCCAGCTCAGGGTGGGCTGCAGCAGGTCTGAGTGGTTGTGAGGTCAGGCTTCTGAGCACCTCTGCACAGGAACTGCATTCCAGGGGTGGAGGACACAGCTGTCCCATGCAGCACATCCAGGATCTACAGAATGAAGGGCAACAATCATCCAGAAGGTGTCAGCTGAGTATTGTTCTTTTGTCATCTAAAAGTGTATCTGAAAACCCTGTGAAAGGGCAACTGGTGTATCACAACAGCTGACTTCAATTGTTCAGAAGCCTCTGCAGATATTTCGTAAGAGGTGTAAAGGCAGGGATACAGTGGTGCAGCATTTGTTTTAACCATTACATTATTTTTACCCTTTTCAGGTCAGGACAGAAGCAGATATATTAAAAAGCTTTACTAACCTCAGGGCTGTTACCTCCAGAGAAGTACTCTGAATAGTGGGGGTATTAGCTATGTATAATGGAACTTGAGAGCAAATGACCATAAAATATAATGTATTTATTATAATGGGAGGGTTTTGTTATAGATTTCACACTGTTCATGGGTAATGAGCCTTTTATTTTCTTTCTTTCTTCCTTTTTTACAGAGGCTTAGTTCAGTGTCTTACAAGTCTCGAGAGGAAGATCCATCTCTTACAGAAGATGAGGTAGGTTTCTTGCATGAAATTCAGTAACTAACTAGAGACCAATTTTTAGGCAGAAATTAGCATAAGCTCTGCGTGATTAAGCAGAATCTAAGAAAGGTGAAACTTGTGTGAAAGGAAAAGGAAAGCCCAAGGTTCTCTGCACAGAGAAGCCTTCCTAAAATCAGAAGTATTCTAACATATGGCTGTATCAGGCCCATAGGTTAAAAATGGTGTCAGAAAATAACAGGAGGCCACATTTAGTTGATTGTTAGGGTAATTTCGTGATTTGGATGACAAGACCTTCTCAAGAAGAATAACCAGCAGTCTTTTGAAACATATGCTCCACCTTCCCCAGGCAAAGTTTGGGGCTCTAGGAAGTAAACTGAAGTACAATAAAAGCACTGGAACATAAACTGTTCTTTATGGCCAACTGTCTGTTGGTCAGATAAATGGAGGAGAGTTAAAGAGAAAAGTTAAACATAAATAACGCTGTTTGTGATCATCTCCAGTGCAACCATGCCATTTATAAATATTTTCTGGACATAAAACTAAACACAAACTTGGCAATGAGCTAAGTGAGCTAATGCCTTCTGCTGGGAGAAGCATTCTCAGCCATTAATGAATAACCTGATCTTGAAGTGAGTTAATGTTACCTAATACTGAGAAGAGTTGAAGTATAGATGAGCAGACAAGCCCTTTTTTGTTAGCTGAAATCAGTAAAAAGTAAGAAGTATTGCCATCTCCAAGATGATGTCCCTCTAAAACAAACAAATGAACAAAAACCAACCAGCCCCAAACACCCCAAACCGAACCAAAAACAAACAATAAAAAAAAAAACACCAGCCAACCAACCCCAGCCCCACACAAACATACACCCACACAAACATATACACACACAAAATCCCAGAATTGTCAGAAGTGGTCTGGTTTGTCTGCTTCTCTCTGTGTTGCCTATTGGCAATGGACATTTTCATGCTAATCTACTCTTTTAACTGGATTGATACAAACTCAAAATGGCTTTGCATGTTTGGGAAAGACTTCAAATGTAGTAGAAGAGCTATGTTGCATTGTGATATTGGGTACCAGAGGAGCTGTGCAGGGAATTTCAGCCATCTGTCTTGTGCAAGGGCTAGTATCCATTTGGCCCAGGAGAGGGAATTAAGACTGAATCCTGTGCTTGGCAACAGCCCAGGTAATCCCTGAGCTGAGGGACATGTGTGGATGTGGGCTTCTCCTCACCTTTTCATGAAGGGCCACTTTCATGCTCTTGCTGAAGTGTACCACCTCACCAGAGGAAATTTTTAGTTAGGAATGAAATGCTGGCTCCCTTTCTGCTGTTTACAGCTGAGAGGGTTCAGTCTCCAATCTAAAGTTCACATACTCAGTGCCTGAGAAGCAGCTCTTCTTTGTAGGCAAAGTGTAGTCAACAGAGCAGACCTTTCATATCAGTACTGGCACTAGTTGCTATTATCTGCTGTGAGTAATTTATCTACAGATTTTTAATGTTGTCTTCACATGTGTTGGTGCCTATTTAGTCGTACCTATTAAAACAATTAACCATTCTTCTATTGCAGTGTCTCTAAAAGCAGAAAAGTAGCCACTACCATTAAAAATAGTAACAATAATAATTTTAAAAGCCCTAAGGATCAGACAGCATCCTTCTCCTACATTACAGCAGTTCAATCTGATCCTCCCTTTTATGCCTCTCTCCATATTGAGAGAGTCAAATCCAAATTGACTCCAGGACCATAATAAAACTTGCAAGAGCTCCTGCTCAAAAAGCCATTCCATTTTGCCCAATTCTAATTCCCTCACCAGGGTTTTAAATTCAAGGAAGTTTTACATTTATAAACTTATTTTATAAAGCATTCTCTTTTTTGAAAGAAAACCGATCTATAAATGCATGCTAGAAAAGGAAGGATATGTAAGAAATAGTTGGGGTTTTTTTCCAAGGGAAAAATCATATCCTTTTAGAATGGGTATCTTTTCATCAGAAGAGCCTGTCTTTTCTTAAATAACCAACATCCTTGTAGTACAAGGGTACAGGCTGCTGCACAATGCCATGCTCCATACTCAGCAGGTATCTCCTTTTCCCAGATCTCAGCCATGTACTCATCGGTGAGTAAGCCGGGACAGGCCATCAAGGCACTGGATTCTCCTTACACCTGCATTCAAGAAATTGTATCTCAGAGGTCCCCGTCTGTTTGCAGTGGCCTCTATGCAAGTGTGAAGGACTTTGAAAACACCCTAAATTCCACCTCAGTGCCTCAGTCAGCAGACAGACCAAACGGGGAGCTGGAGCCGGACTATGAAGCCATCCAGGCAGTGAGCCAAGAGGAAGAGAGGACCTTGTCGGTGCCTACCACAAACCACACTGCTCTTTCAGGAGAGAACGACTACGAGAGCATAGGGGACTTGCAGCACCACAGGGAATTCACCAGGCTTTAACTACTCCAGCAGCAGATTTCCCCACTGTTATTTTCAAAGGACAAGTGAAACGTGGAGAGGGAAGTGCTTTTCCTATGGAACACAAGTTGTGAAGCAGCAATGTACATTTCAGCTGGGGTGTGATACCTGCTGGTTTTTCTGGGTGGTGGATCAAGGCTCATGGGAAAGGGTACGTCAGATCAGAAAGATGACCAGGAAAATGTAAAGGTTTCTTTATTGTTATTAGCTCCAAGGCAAACGTAATTTGGGAAGGAGTGCCATGCTTGTCGTCCTGACAGGATTACGTACCAAAAAGACTACCTTTACACAAAACTAGCTTCTCATTTTAAGAGATTATTTTATGTAATTTTCTTCAAAGTGTTTTTCAAGCATAATTTTTCATTCAAGTTTTGGCATCTGCAATGTTGAGCAAACCACAGATAATTGTACCTCAACTCAGACTTACTCTGCGGGGCTGGGGAAGATGCACTCACTTCTGTGTCTTTTGGGGAGCTCTGTCCACCTTCCCTGCAACTAAAGTGCAAACAACAGTAGTTCACAAGGGACTGACTCCAAATGTACTTGAATTAACTCTGCTGGCTTTTTCTTTTCTTTTTTTTTTAATGTCAAGGGCTGTAGAATATGACTTGCAGTATTTGAGATGTGTACTGGTATTTGTAGGGGTTTTGTTTGATTATTTGTGAAATATCCCTTTGAAATGGCAATGGTCACTCTTAGTATTCTTGCACTGTTTCCCTCAAATAGACATAAACACCTGCACATACACATCCCAGACCATTGTCATGTTGCAAAACTTGTGCAATTGAATGCACTGGCATAATGTATAATCTGACCTTAGTAGTATTGAGTAATATTTTTTTTGCAGAATTTTGCCCTTTTAAAAGACTTAACTATTTTAATGTTTGTCTAGTTTCTTATATAGGAAAAAGTATGTACTGTGTTAAGTGGGTAATACTTTTTTTTTTTTAACAACATATTTTTCATCTTCAAAGTTTTTGTAGATTGACTTACTGGGGTTTGTAACAGGAGGAATCCCATTCTTTATTTGGGCTGGGTTTTGGTTTTTTTATTTTTTTCCTATTTCAAAAGTAGATAAATGAAAATTATCTACTGGGGTTGTTTTGTTGACTTTTTCTGTCTCCTTGAGCAGGGAAATGGAATATGCCTTGCTGTTTTTAAGCTAAAATAATGGAGTCTATGTAAAAGAACACTGCCACAGGGCAAAAAAGAGGCAAAAGAGACAGTGAGATTTAGTCAGGCATAGCCACTAGTCCTCCTTGTTCTTCTGCTAAAAGGAGCAGGAGGGCAATCAAGACCTACTAGGGCCTCTGACAAACAGTTTGAAAGCCACTGGCTTTTCAAAAATGCTGAGTTATTCTGTTACTGTGAAAAACAAGGTACAGTGCTCGGATGAAATAAGCAGGTACTGGATTGCTACCTTTTTTCTTCAAGAATAATACAATAAATAGTACAATGGTACAAGAATAGTCCAACAGTAAAGAACAAGCATTGTGTGACATGCATGTGCACATATCCCCATGTATATAAGCATACACTTGTAATTTGGACACAAGTATAAGTTGTAGTCCAAGCTTGGCAACATTCACGTACGTACTATCTGGCATGTGCTTGAAGAGCAGTTTATTTTTAATTCAAAATAAACAGTACATGAACTGAGGTTGGCTTATTCTGTAGTAAACAAAACAGGTTTAATTTCAGCTCAGTTGGTACTGGGTTTTGAAGGTTGAGCCCTTCTCGGATGCTTGGTCAGTTCTCAACATGACTTGGTACTATAAAGAGCAAACATAGATCTGGTTACACACATTTATTAGAAATAGCTTCATAACTGAGAGAAGTGTGCTGATTTACAGGCTTTGCCTGCAAGTAGTACAGCTCTGAGGAGCAGTGCAGTTGTGCAGTCAACCTCTGCCCACAGGGTGGTTCAAACTTCGTGGATCCTGACCTTGTGCAGCAGTGCAGCACACTCAATCTATGACTCTCTTCCCTGGAGGAGAAGCAGTTCAGACCACTCTACATCCATCCTGTTCTTGACCATGCTGCCATGTTTTGACAGCTGCAGCAAACCCTTTGCTTCCACTACAGTGCTTTTCTAGGATGACTGTGGTTCTACTTTCTGGAGTTTTTCCTTTTATAAAAGTTTTTGTTTCTGTTTCCTTGAATGTGAATTCACCTTTGAATGTTCTCTCCTCCTACTTCACACTGTTTAAGGCCAAAGATAAGATGCACCATGTTTCAGAAGACTTGTTGTGCTAAGTCTGGAGAACCTCTTCTGTCTTCAACTATGTGTTTGCTGTCTGTTCCTTGCTCAGGGGTACCAGTTTATATATGTAGTCCTCAGTCTGACTCTTGCAGCTTAGTGGCAGGCATACCTCAACTCCTGAAATTCCCAAATACATCTCAAGATGTAGTTATCCCTTTACATGGATGACTGCTTTTGGAGAATCAGTAGGAACATGGGGTTTGTCAGGTTCACTAGATTCAATTTCAAGACCAATTCAAAGATATCTTGAGACAATGTCAGTTGAAAGCAAAGAATAGCACAGAATTCTTGATTGTAAATTTTAAGGTGCAAAAGAAGAAAACCAAACATCACTCTAGAAATACCCCCATTGAGACCAGCAGGTCAGAGGATGGTGGAGAATTGTCCAGTCATTCTGTTTTTCATAGCCAGATCAGAAATGTTGCTTTGTAGGAAGGGACACAAGTCTTTCTGTCCTTTCTTTCACCTGTCTGACAACTGCTCCTGAAACCCCCTAGACTTCCCTTTTACACAGTGAAAGAAAAATTGTCCTCCCCCTCTCTTCTTTCTTTCGTTTCTGTTTTTAACCCATCTCATACAGCCTTGCACTGGGAGCTGGTGCCATGTCTGCAGTGCTGCAGTGGCACATTCCTTCCTCTTTAACTTACTTTCAGGCTGGTCACAACCTTTTAATGGTTCATCAGACCTCAGTCTCATGGAGAAGCTATTCACATTTTGAATTGCTGCTTTCAGGACGTGTACCTGCCCTCAGTCTTGAGACCCACACACACTGGACTTAAAAGCTGCAAAAAATAATTACCCTCCTGAACAAGGATGTGTGGGGGAGTCCATAACTCCCCTGCATAATCTCCATTATGTAGTTTAATGCTAAATGAAAATGTTTTAGAATTCAGTCCAAGGTTGGCAAGTGAGTTTTTACATTTCTTGACAAAGAATCAAGGTGCTGGTTTAGTTCCCTCTTTCCATATGTAATACCTGTTCCTTTATGGCTGTTGTCAATGCTTCCTTTTCATTAATATATTTGATAGAAAGATTTTTCCAGCAGTAATCCCCAAAGAGATTAATCTGTCAAGAAAAGGGAGTCTCTTCTACTTGTCTCTTTACTGCTGTTTTTAACTCTTTCACCATATCCCTAAATAAAATGTCAGCATCCAAAATGAAGTATTTGTTATCTTGTGATATTTTCTGGGGAAACTTCACAGTCTATTTCTTTGCCTCCTTTTTTTAGCACAACTGTACAATAAAATCTCTCATCAAATTGCCACGGTAAGGCCAACCGTGCAGTAATATGTGTATAACTGCAGTAGTGAAAAGATCTTTTTGATTTCCCTCTGGGAACTGGCAGAAAACAGGAAATGCAGTTCAGACAACTTTTCCATGAATCTGTGTCTCCTATGAGAGTTGTTCTTACCATGTACCTGAACCAGTGCTAATCCAATATGTAAACCAGTCATCCAGTTCATGAGTGTAGAATAACTTTCTCAGTCAGAGAGAGAAATAAATTCTTTGCAGATACCTGTAGCATGGGCATGTATCTAATTATCAGATCAGTTATAGTGCCTTTTCTACAAAGTAGCTAGTACTTCCATACTCTTTTCCACACTGTATGTGGTTTAACTCAGAAGTACACAGGGACAAACCCAACATTTACTTGTCCCAACTTGGAAACATCTTTATAGAGACACATTTAGTGTACTGGACCTCAGTCAGCCCTACCTACAATAGCAATAGTCACAAACATCCACTAAAAAGCCCAGTAATGTAGCTATGATGACTAAGCTTTGCAATAAGAATTATCAGTCTTCTTTTGAAGAACCTAGGTTTTACAATAGTGAGCATTCAGGGAGGTGGTGTTCATGTCAGCTGTGAACAATTTGTTGCTTCAGTCTTTCTATTAATATAAATTCCAGGCTTGCTTACATGTAGCAGGATCCATGGAGTGACAGATGAGTAGGCGTGGGGATTCATATTCATGAGTAACCCAGAATTGGGTCATCCCCATAATTTCAACTGGCTGATGACCAGCTGCCTTGTTCTCTAAGCCCTCATCTATCTACCGTGCCTTCAAGGAATCCATCCTGCAGGGCTGCATGCTTCCCCATGGCTCCCTGAGCAGCTCCTGTCCGCTGTTTTGAACACAATTCCGTGTATGCGGTGCTCTCAGTTCAACCTTTCAATGGTGCTTTCACAAGATGCTGGATAAATGGTTTGCATGTGTAAGTCTGTGACACAGAGTGCTCTCTCTGGTACTGTCTGCTTTCCAGAACTGCATGTTAACTGTGCTACTCTTGACTACAAAAGGTGACAGTGCTGCCCTGTCTCTCGCTCATCTCACTCAGCCAGGGTGGAGTCACCCCATGTGACAGCCCTGCCTAGGCTGGGACACAGGTGTTTAAAAGCAGCCATTCAAGGCCAAGTGACTTGGCTTGGAAGCAGCTAGAGACAGAACTCTCATCCGTGCACTGTGGGGCTGCAAACATCGCAGCCCAGCTCAAGGACTTTTTTTTTCTGTCTCCTATTGTGCATATACATTTGTTTGCCACATGACTGTAAGAAATCTGTTTCTGTATCAAACATTTTAATTTGAACCACACTCCAATGAGGGGCTCTTGCTCTTGGGCAAATAACCAGTTATTCCAGATGAGTTTTATTTTTTGAGGTTGAAGTATGCCTGAATAAGGCTTTTACATGCCTCACAAGTAATTTGGTGTGGCAGTCTGCTGCAAAACAGAAGAATGCAGAAAGATGCTTAGCCTGACAGGTGCTCCTTTGGTGGTGTGCTGAAGACTTTCAAGGACAGGTCTCTTCCTGGGAGCAGGGAACATAATTACTGTTAATACAATTTCATATCCTGGTGCTGAAGTTGATTTGTAGCATCTCTTTGGGAAGGTGGTGGCTGAAGTCATTGCCAGAGCAAAGTGCCTAAAAATATGGATGTTTCTGTAAAGGTAAAGATGCTCACTGTTTTTGCACAGCCACTAGATTACTGTATGTGGTGCTCTCTTGCCATACACATTCCTAAATATTGGCTGGCTTTCATTTGTGGTGTTTATTGTTATAATAGCACAGTCTGATAAGGGTTTTGTCTCTGCAAATTCATTGGCTAATTTTAACTAGCATGTGTTTGTACAGAAAATACAATTATTTTTTTTTTCATTTAGAAAGCAGGTATGTCATTTCCTATACTTTATGATAATGCAACAATTGGCTCAGATTATTTATAAGGTATGTAAGTAACTTCAGAATGCTTCATTTGGGATTTCAGAACGCCTCCTGTTCACTACAAAACAATATAACCTTTTAATCTTGCTATATTGAGTAGGGGGCTGAAATACTACAAATCCTTTTACTATAAAAAAAAAAGGAGACAATTCTGATTTCAATTCCTAATATCTAAAAATAGAACAATTTTAACTCATATTTTAACTTTCAGCATAGGTGGGATTTGGACTACCCTCTTATTTATGGAACTGCTCTTCCCCACTATGTTCACCTGTCACCACCTGAGAATCTCTTTTGTCCTTAGTGAAATATGACAGTTGTACAGAGGGCACAGAAACTGCACGACATTAACACTCCTGAACGGGACCTTTTCAATGTGCCTGTGAGACTCAGAAGCCTGGACTTCAGTCTGATGTTTTGAGGTACTCACATCCCATCTGGAGGACATCTGTGGGGGTCTTCACTTTCTTTCCAGGCAAGAAATTCTGTAGCTTGCAAGCACTCACATGACAGTTAAAGACACACGTAAGATGTGAAGTGTCACAATGTTTAAATGCATTAAAGAGACATCTAAGAGCACAAGAACCTGCTTTCTCACATGTCTGAGGATACTGGAATTTGCTCTTTGTATCTGAGACTGAGAAAGGTCACATAACCAGTCTCCTCAGAACATCCTACCGGCAGACAGCTCTTTGAAATGAGCCACTGTGGTGGCTCCTGAGTTTCTGCATGTACCAACTTCATGATTTCTAGCAGCGCTCATCTCATCTCATCTCATCTCATCTCATCTCATCTCATCTCATCTCATCTCATCTCATCTCATCTCATCGTCTCATCGTCTCATCTCATCATCCCATCTCACCTCATCTCTGTGGCAATGACTATTTAGGAATGGCCCTTTGCTTCACAGTCCCAACCCCTTTAACTTAAGAAAGGGGATGTGAGCTGCTTCTCCTCAGTCTGACCAGTCTTTCTAGATGAAAGTGTGATGAGAGCCCACATTCAGAACCACAAAAGAGCATTCACTGTCAGGTACAGCCCACAGCAGCAGCTAGGAAGAAAAGTAAAGTAACAATAGCTAAGTTTCATTTGCACTTCCCCGGTCCCACAGACAACCTGTTTTGAAAAGATTTTTAAGGTAGAAAAGGTTAAAGGGAGGGGGTGCTGAGTCTCACAAAAGATGGATAACTTTGTTTATTCTTCTCAGTATTCCCTATACAAAGAGAGGCAAGATCAAGCCATGACCACCCGACCATGATGCAGCTGGATTATCTTTTACCAAGCCTCCATATCAACAGAATGGAAATTAATAAATTCTAAATACATGTTTTTGTTCTGTTAGAGACCCAACATGGACAAATGTAAATGCACTAAAATAAGCACCATGTGTAGATCTGGACTTGCATGATATGGGGATTTTAGCAAGAAATAAAACCAAAACCCATACTAATAAAAAACCCAACCCTAACTGGATTACTTTATTTAAATAGAATTCTTTGCATGAGCCAAGGCTGCAGGATTGGGCCCTAAGAGTTCAGAAGTTTGGTTTAGTGATACGTACTTTCGTTTGTATTTTCAGTGAAATGTATTTTCTTTTTTTTATATTAGTGATATGACTTCCATAAAAACAACAAAAAATAGTCAGTTATAGGTATAATTATGTCTAATAGCTAATTATTAAAATCGTGTCTCAGTAAGAGTCACTTAAAATTGGGTGCTATATGAGCTTCACTATAAAATTGCTTTATATATGGAACACTGCATACTAAGAACATAGTGCATAAGAATATGTAAATACAGACATTGTTTATTTTATCCATTGTTTTATAATGGAAAAAATACGTGTTGCTGGAATATCTCCCAGCAAAGTTCTCTTACACAGTGTTCTAGCAACAAAAAGTGTTTTCTGGACAACTATTTACGTCTCTGATCACTGACACAGAACTGCAAAACATCCTCAAAACAGTATGAGCTTGTGCAAAGACAAGCTTAGGACTGTCCTGGCTATCTTAAAGTGGATATAGTGGAATATCCTGTGAAGTTCAGCTCTGTGGGCAGTGGGAACAGCTCAGTGATTCAATGACTCTGCCACATACACAATGCATGGAGTCAATGCATGCAGACTTCTGAGATGGCAATAGCTAAGGCTTGTTTGCTACATGAAGAGTTATTTGGCTTGCTACCTGTTTGAAATCAAATGCTTTAATCAACATCACTGCAAACACTGGAATACTGTAGTTTTGCAGAATGTATGTTCTATAAATTGTAGTTTAACTGTAATTGCAGGGCTTATCCTACTGTTAGAGCAGTTCACATCCAACACTAAATTGCATTTTGTAAATTAACAAATGCCATTGAATTCCTCTCAATATTTTGTAATAGTATACACAAGTTTATGTCATTTAGTCATACCTTTGTTCCAAGAATTCTCATCAGACATTTCTATAGCCAATTCAGCTGAAAGCACAGTAGGCAATTATGGTTATTTACTGTAAATGTAGAAAGTTTTATGTAAATATTTCTGGGGGAAAAATGCTACATGAACATATGAAGCAGTTATCTAAAAGTAAGAACATAGGTGAATAATAAAAAATACAGGTTTTATTTATGTACAGTAGCATCCTAATAGTTACTTGTTTATATGCAGAAAAAAAAAATCATATGATTCTGTACTGTATTCTCTGAAAGCATTTAAAAGAGGCTCTGCCATTTTCTCTGGTTATTATATTTGCAAATAACTCAAATTCATTGGAAATCCATGTAAATTATGTCAAATGGGAAACATGTTACATTGCAATGAAATTAATTTAATTCAAAAATCCTGGCAAAATTCATTGGATTAAAATCTATATATAAATTCAATAGACAGACAGAATAAACCACAATAAATAAGCCTTGTCTTTTGTTTTAGTGGTTGGTTGGTCAGTTTTTATCTGTGCTTCTTTTTGTTTTTTTCTTAACAAATGTATTATTCAGTCCTTGAAGTCACTTCATCCTGCAGGTCTTAAAACCTGCATTATTTTATAGAATTCTGTTTGTTCTGGGAATTTTGTGCTGATTTCATTATCTGACAAGAACTACTAAGACTTCTCTGTGATATATAGCTCCTTGCTCCTCCCAAAGCCACAGTCCTGCCAAGATTCAAGCATGCACACAACAGCACCAACTTTAAGTTGTCTCTGACTAAAGCAGGGACTGCCATGAATAGTGGCACTATGCTCTTTAATGCAGGTAAGAATATTGGGTTTGAGCCTTTCAAAGCTGTGCAGCTTTCAGCATTTTTAAACTTGCAATTACCAGCCCTATGGATTATCCTCTGAAATTGCTGTGGCATTTGATTCCTTTTCCTTTGTTATAGATGCTCTCTAGGTAATGTTCCCCATCCATTTGCTGCACTGCTCTGTCAGTAGCAAGACTCATTTGTGTAGAAATACTTTTAAGAGCATCCTGAAGCATTTCAGAGGCAGATGACTTAGGACCACTGCTGAATATGTAATACAGATTCTGCTTGTAAGTCTAACACAAAGAAATGTCATTTTTAAGCATGTCACTGGAACAAGGCTCCTTTGTACACTAGGGCATGAGGCTAATTTTAGGTTTTACCTAACCTTTTGGGTCTTGCACTCTCCATGACTTGCACCTTCCTCCTCATTATCTTTAATTACAGATAGGAAAAGGGCAGCTTTACCCACTTAGTACAATACTAAGTAGTTACTGATTAACAAGTTCCTGGAAAATTCACAGTGCAAACAGGGAGTAGTTGCACCAAGCTAGGAGACTGAAGAAATTAGACAAGTAGTATCTGTTCATTGTCAAAGTGATGGCTTTTTAATGTTTAATCTGGGTAAGTATATTTTAATAATCAAAAGATACAAGGTTTTGGGTCAAATAGAGAATTTGTAAAAATAAGGAATATTTCATGTGCAAAATCATTCAGGATCTGATAAGTGCAAAAGAAGATTGCTTTTTCCTGAACATTTGTTCATGGGCCAGGAAGCTGCAAATTATGCAATTTGATATAAATTTTGTATTAAGTAACTGTTGAATATTATCCAATACAGGCTGATCTTTTGGGGGAAAAAAGCGCATGCAGTATTATTATCAAGAGAACTGTTTCACGGATTTTTTTTTTTCTAAGTCTTCATTCTGAACAATTGCTATCAGCCATAAAATTGCTCTATTACTATGGTTAGCTTCATGTTTGAGGCCAACCACATAGAACTATAAATGTGGCTGGTTGAAATATTGAACAGTTTTCCCAGATTCTGGCTAATCATATAGCTGCGTGGAGACACTTGGGAACAGAAAGTGCAAGCATCTTTGTTCTCCATAAGCTTTGACATCACTTAAAAGTAAAGCTTTAACCTGACAGGAGGTTGGTGTGGAGTCAGGAGTATACTGCAGTGACACCTGGTGTTTAAAGCAGAATTAGTCCCTGTGAAGTGTGGCTGACAATTTACTTTTAATTGGGTACATATTCACTCAAAGACTCCCAGTTCATCCTGTGTTCATGGAGCATAGCATTATGTTGAACTACAAAGCATTGGAGCTAAAGAGTGGCTTGACATTGCTTCGTAGAAAATGTGTCTGACAGATTTGTTTCAAAAGCCCAAAACTACAGTGACATGATCTTCCTAGCACTGTAGCTGGCAAGATACTTCAGCACTACTTCTTCTCAGTTGGCTATTACATAAATGAGATTGACCTTTCGTATAACTCACACGACTGGAATTTCTGTGCAGCCTTTGTGGAAGGACTGATAGGCAAGAACAGAGAACTGTCAGTTCAGGCAGAAAACAGGGATCCTGTGTGTGTCGTGGTGCTAGAAAGCATATTAGAGCTACAATAGATTATTCTGAAACAGCTCCTGCTAAAGAGCCTATTGACCAAAGCAGTCAAGATCTGCATATTTACAGATGTGACTGAAATGGCATGTAAATCCCATTATCAGTTAATGTAATTAAGGATGATTAGGATAATGTAATATAATTCATTATCATATCATTATTATTAATTATTATTCAGGATTTCAGTTTGCCACAAGATGAAATAAAAAATAAGATCTGGTTGCAATCTCTAATTTGGACTGATGAACTATTTTTATTATGCAAAGGTTTGTGTCACCTATTTCAAAAACCACATACATGCTCCACATTTATGTAGTTAATCTTAAAATCTGGCAAGGACTAAACTCTAAGGCTAGCATTCTGGTTTTCCTTTATGCCACAAAATTCTGTTAAGGGGTCGGCTGAGCTACAAAAGTCATATTATCCTAAAAGTCACTGGTTTTTTCTTTCCTTTATTTTAAATTATGGGAGCCTATAAAAACAAGCAAATAAACATGAACCTGAACTTTGTGAGGCTGCACTAAGGCTGCATGTCAACCAGCAGAGAGCCAAGCCTTGTCCAGCAGATACTTGAAGGCTGGCACTCAAACTAGCATTCAGAGGTCTTCCTAATTTCTCACCTGCAGCTTATTTTCAGCAGCAAAGTACAAAGGGAAAAAAAAAGGGTCTGGGCAAAATGAAGTCTGGATGGGTTCTGAAGGAAGCAAACAGCTGCTGCTCCAATCAGTGGAATGAATTTGCAACCCAGCACCAGAACCACCTCTGTGCTGTTTCCAGGTTAGAGAGCTGAGGCTGTCACAGACTGGAGAAGAGGGTTACCAGTAGCTTGTCATTAAAACACATAGTTCCTCGAGTACTCCTTCAGGTAATTTTGGAAGATAGGAGTGACATTTGCTTTCCCCCCAGTTTTCATGCACCTCTCCAAGTCATCATGATCATCCAAAGATAATCAAAATGCAATGACATGAGCCAGCTTCCTCAGCATTTTTGGGTGCATCCCACTGGGGTCCATGTCCAGTTTGCTTAAGTATTCTGTAACCTGAGTCTCTTCCACCTCACTTAAGTGTTCTTTCAAACTTTCCCCCTGTCTCCAGGTCCTTGGATTGCTGAGGGTAGGTTTTTCTAGTAGAGACTGAGGTGAAGAAGGCATTCAGTACCTCGGCCTTTTCTGTGTCCTGTGTCACCAGGGCCCCTGCCACCTTCAGCAGCAGCAGGTACACATTTTCCCTAGTCCTCCTTTTGTGACTGATTTAATTACAGACAGCCTTCTTGTTGCCTTTGACACCCCTCACCAGATTTAATTCTGGTTGGTCTTTGCCTTTTCTGTGTTTTGCCCTCTTGGACAGCATCTCTATATCCTTCACAGGTCTCCTGTCCCTACTTTCACCTTCTATATACTTCATTTTTGTGTTCTAATCTTGCCAGAAGCTCCTTGTTCATCCATGCAGGTCTCCTGGCATTTTTGCCTGACTTCCTGTTCCTTAAGATGGACCCCTGTTGACCTTGGAGGAGGTGAAGCTTAAATATCAATCAGCTTTCTTGGATCCCTCCAAAGCCTTTGGACTCTTTCAAGCAGATACCATAGAGCCACCTCATTCACCAAATAAGAGGATTTTTGGGGAAAAGGAGTATTGTGACCTTATTTGCAATGACTTTAGTTGCTGGATGAGGTGTGGGGTTTTTGCCCACAGAAACTGTCTCAGTAGGTGTAAGCATAAAAATTAGCACAAACCTGTATGGAGTATGTGAAGGTATTTGTAAATCTGAGGTTTCTTTCCCTCCAGATTTTGCAGCTTAGGTAACAGTTGAAGGTTTGGTACATGATTGAAAGGTGTTGATTGCCACTTGTCTGTGACATGTCTGCAGCTGACACTGATAAGTGGAAGAATAAGATGACAAGGATCCCGACCTTTATAATTTGCAGCTAAAATACTCATTGGGCAGATGAGTGCAAAGAGATGAGTGGGAGTAAAGTCCATTCTCTGCTGTTCATTGTAATAATTTTTTTATGATGCTCTAAACAGTGAGATTACTTTTTTTCCATGGCTCCCACATTCCCACTAGGTCCTCCTGGTTTCATCTGCAGTGTTCTCCAATACACGTGGTATCTGGCAAGCCTCCTAGCCCAGGCACAGCCTGCTTCTGCAGCCCAAGTTACCAGAATAAACAGTTGGCTCTGGCACATGGGTAACATCCCCTGAGCTGCCTCAGCACAGCTCCAGCCTTGGTCCTGGCAGGTCCAGCTCCAAGCCTCAGCTAAGGAGCCTGCACAGAACCACACAAGCCCATGGAGCTCGTATGTCTTGCACCAGCACTGCAGTCTGGCCAAAACCTAGGCAATTACCCCACAAAAGGGAGATAAATAGGTGGGTGTATTTCTTTATTTATGTGTATGCATGGGTGTCAAGGGGAGAGGAGAAGAAAGAGCTTCATGGGTTTGAGATCACGTAACTTCCCTTGTCAAGGCTCTTCTTATGCACCTTTCCATTTAGAACTGCCTGAGCAATGGCCTATAGTGAAAATTGGCTGGAAATTCAAGACAGAAAGATTTCAGGTTGTTTGTGGTCAGTTGTGTGGTTCACAAAACAAGAGAGTTTGGAAGAGAGAACTCTCCCACTGGAAATGTGTGAGCTGGAGGCAACACCACCATGTGGTGCTACAGCAAGAGGAACCCCTTCACAAAGAGAACATAGCCTGGAGGTTATTCTGTGCTTTTTCAGCCACATATATGACAAAATTAAAACCAAAATTACCATATTGGTGCCTGGGGTGGCTGTACAGGCACATTCTTAATAAATTAAGTAATTTTAGGTTAATCTAAATAGACCCCTTCAAAATACAAATTATTCCTTTTTGGACCCAAGCTGAGCAACTTTCTATTTGCTTTGAAGAAAAAAAAAAAAAAGAAAAAAAAAAAAATCACAAAAAAACCAAACCCAAAACACTTCAACGTGTATGGAGAATACTCATGAGGCTATTATAGCCGTAGATGGTTACCAAAAATTAAGAGCTGATTATCTGGGTCCCCTGCAGCACTAAGGGAGTT